GTCGTTATGAAGTTTATGGCACCTAGAAGAGAGGAGATCTGGTATTGATCTTTCAATATTTGACCTGTTCCTGCCTGTAGGATACGGACTATCTAAACCAAAGGACGATATACCCGTCCTCCTCCCTTCTATCCTCACCCCTCAGATACTCCTTTATGTAGAGCGAAGCTACCGTGAAAGAAAATGAGCTACCGTAGTTTATAAAGCATGGATTCGTTCAAGTAAGGTTTAACTAGAGAGCGAAAATGGGCCATAGATTAGTACAGATATAAATCCGAGGGGGGTGAAACTTGAAGATTGCAGTCCAAATCCAACTCTACCTCATTTTGAGTAAGGTATCACTACATATAATGAATCCTGTTCGGGCGCACCGTCCTGGGCCCACCCCGGCCCTAGGACTGAGGGCCCTAGGTCCTTAGGCCAAGGGAAACGCCAAAGAACGAGGGGTTAACAGATCCCCTATATTAGCGGGTACTACTTTTTTGCCCTCTTTGTAATATAGTTCGTGAAAGTAATTCAATTGAGGCAGAGACAAAGTACAAATCTGATAGTTTGATAAGACTTTCCTGTGCTAGTTATAGTCAGGGTAGACTCCTTAGGTGCAACAGTAAGCTGAATATAGCTCAAAAACAAAATTGCAAATAAGGGGCATTCTTTACACTCTGCCCAAATCTAAGCCGAGAATTCCCTATGAATTGTACGTTTCTGAACATTAATATCGCCTAGACACAGTCCATGAGTGATCTCTATTAACTCTTTAGATAAAGGAGGTAGATCCTTAGGGGTTCGGTAGAATCTGACTGGAGGTTTAAAAGAGTTTATACCTAAAAACAGCATGAAACCCGACCCGGCTCGGACAGGCAGCTCCGCTGTCTGCTGAGCCGGGACGCCGAAGGCGGTCCGCGTAGACTGCCGGTACTTCGTACTGGCGCTAGGCTTCTGGGGTCTGTATAAAAACTAGAATCAATACCCGGACTATCTCATGGCCTTAAAGAAGACCCTCCACGTATAGTCTCTGAGGATCCTACTCGGAATCTTAAGATTCCTTTGGTTTCCTGCTGATTGTCCAATCCTATACATTGTCACTGGTTAATACCTAGTATAATAGGCTCTAAGGAGTTTCCAGCATATAGCGAGGTAATATACATCTACAATATTGGATTTACGAGACTTTTTACCCAAAGGGTATTAAGGTTGTGCCTCTTAATATTGGAGACTATATCTCACCACTT